GCAACAACAAAAACAAAACACCCCCCCCGCAAAAGCAAACAAAAAACTCCTACCTCATTGAGCTGCCTCTCCCGGCTTCATTCAAGTTCGGATAGGTTGCGGGTTGAAATCTGCTGTCATTCGACAAGGCAGCATTATCTTCAGTCACCCGTTTCTTTCCAAACCATATTCCGCGGCTTCTGCTCGGGGATTTGGGTTCAGACCTCAGGAGCAAAGGGAAACTGGAATGGCACGTTGAGGGTCTCAGAGGTGCCGTGTCCTTGGGAGAATGTGACAGGCAATTGCGCTTCCGTGGAGGTGTAGCGGCGCAGGTCGGTCATTGACACATGTCGCATCATCTCGGAATGTCTTGCATCTGAAATCAGAGCTTGACGAGGCCGCTACCTCCCACGAAATGTCGCAAAGGCCGGACCTGCTGTGCCATCCAGAAGCTTGGACAACGGCACAAATCCGATAGTGATCTCATGACACCGGCAGGTAGCCGAAGGCGCGAGGATAGCACCGTAGCCAGCCGGATCCGGCCGCAGCCTTGCACCTGTTGCCAGACAACGCTCCCGGAACGCTCAATTCCCAAGGCTGTACGGGATTCGCCCAACGACCTGCGCACAGCGGGTCGGGTGCAGCGCACCCGCCGGGAGTGTGACAGAGGTGTGCGAGCCTTTGGATTTTGTCCCCACCCTGCTGCTGGCGACTGACGAGTTAAAGCAGTCCGGTTTGTTGTTCCTCAGGTTTGTCAGCTTAAATCACTTCCGTCGAGACGGTTCAGATTCAGAGTCATACACCCGAGCGGCGATGCTTCGTAGTTCGTTTAGCCTGCCAAGGCTTGCGCTTGTTTTCTTGGGCTGGGCTTCCAGAGCCTGACAGTGCCGGAGAGCATGATTTACCTCGGATAAAGCAGAGGAGCGAAGTTCTCGAAGTTCAAATGCTAAAGGAGAGCATCACTGGGCTTCGACATCCGACAGTAGTAGCTAAAGAGGCAACATAGCGCAGTGCCATCATCAGAAGAAGCTGTCAGCCCATGTATCACAAGGTCGTTCCAATGCATGTGCGGTCTTGCTGCGCCGGTGTAGCTGATCCCTCACTGGATCTCACTGGAGACCAGACCAAAGAGCTTGAGGGATCTTTCAGGCAGCACGTCCACTGCATGCACTGTTTAACATGAAGTCTCCCTGGTGGGCAGAGATGGGCTAGGAGAGTGGACTGATGAAGCCGCCCGTGCTAGTGCAGGGAGTTGCTTCAGTAGAATTCACTTCCATTGAGTGCTCTGCGTTTCCTGCTCAATGGGCTCGACTTTCCTGAAGGTGGCAAACGCAGCCGATGGAATGACAAATGGGTACAGATGCCGCCTCAAGTGCAAAAAAGTTTGAGCTGATCTATGGACATTTCTTTTGAAGTTTGCGATCTGCCTTGGCATGGGGCTCACGTGGGGCCCATGTGTTTCTCAAAAAGATACTTTTCAGAGCCCTGGCATGGTTCCGACATCGTTTCTTTTTTTTGGGGTTTTTCTGGTATTCAGCTCGGAAAGCACTTTGTTCTTCCCCCGGAGCTCGCGGGGGAGGAGAATCTGTCGTTAATGCGATGAAGTCGGAAGCCATCAACACTGTAGCTGAGGTGCTCTTGGACTTGTTGCATGGCCTGCGCGGCCAGATCCCGACTGCCGAGGCGGGCTCTCTACTCAGGCGTATTGCTGCATGCTTCCATTTAACTTCCTTCAGCAAAGCCCAGCTTGGCCTCAGCATGCTCGGCAGGCTGTCGGAAGACCCACTCTTCCATGGCACGAAGCTCATGTCTGGAGACGGAACAGCTGAGCACTTGAGGAGCACGTGAGATGGCAAAAGTTTGTCTACCGACAGATTTCAAGAATCGGATGCGTCGTGTTGGCAGTTTTGCCAGTCCGAAAATCCTGAGGTAATTGCGCAGCTTATGTTGCAACTTTGGAAAATGTGGAATCTTGGGCTGCTTCTCCTTGTGCAGTTACACATCTCTGGTCGGCAAAGCATAAATAAGAGTGTACTCGACTGCCAGCATGTGTCAGAGTGCATTGCTGCAGACTCAGTTGGCAATTTTCACCTGAACTTCCAGGTCCGAACGTTCCGCGCAGCCGGCTTTTGTGCCAAATGACCTTATTACGGTAGCGTTTGAGGCTGCAGCACTTGTCTTGGCCAGGTGTTTGCTGAAACCTGCTTTCGGCGAGAAGGCGCTGGCAGGCACTTCTGTCGCTAGTCCGGAAGGTTTGTAGGCCTGTATAGCATGCCTGGTCATGGACTAAGGCAACGGAACTGTCATCATCTGTCCCGGTGGGAACTACGAGTTTCTCTGCCCAAATGAAGGCGCAGCAGTTCTACTTGGACTACATATCTATCTATCTATTTATCTACCTATCTATCTATCTATCTATCTATCTATCTATCTGTCTATCTATCCATATATCCATCCATCCATCCGTCCATCGATTCGTCCGTCCATCCATCCGTCCATCC